AAATATCAACCTGGATGAGGACCAACAAACTTACTCTAAACATTGACAAAACCTACTACATTCAGTTTCGTAACAGAGCTACAGATGTCTCTTAACATAATGATAAATGGATCACCTATCACAAAACTCACAGAGGGAAAATTCTTAGGAATCCACCTTGATAATAGACTGAAATTTCAAACACATATACAACAAATTTCCCAAAAAATTTCCAAGACCGTAGCCATACTATCGAAGAACCAGTACTATGTTCCACAGTCAGCATTCCTGGCCCTATATCACTCGCTTATTTACCCCTATCTCACCTATGGAATTTGTGCATGGGGCTCAACAACAATAAACCATCTCAGACCACTAATCACCCAACAACAGGCTGCAGTCAGAATGATGATAAATTCCCACTACAGACAGCACACTCCACCAATATTCAAAGTTCTAAACCTACTCACAATACAAAACATCCATACTTATTACTGCACCTACTACATACATAGAACAGTTAACTCTGACATAAACCCTCCCCTCAAACATCTCCTTACCAACCTCAACAGAACACATGACCATAACACAAGGCACAGATCACTCTGATGTTCCTCGTGTCCATCTCACGCTATGCAAAAACTCAATGCACATGGAAGGCTCTAAAATCTGGAACTCATTACCTGTGAATATAAAAGAAACACTGTCTGTTTATAAATTCAAGTCTCTTCTCAAAAATCACTTACGCACCCACAACTAAATAAATACTGAATAATTGTATTTCATAAATTGTATCTCATATATGTATCTCATTATTGTATCTCATAAATGTCAACCTGTGACCCAATCAAACTTAGTTACTATTTAACTTCATTACCTAACAGAATACTCCATTCTACTGATTACACAGCAACACAGTAAATAACCATATGACCTGTCTTTGTAATACTCATTTGTACTAAATTGTTATCTGTTTTGCAATAATTTTTGTACCACTGAATATATCATTGCTTAGTTAATCTTAAGTTAATTTTAAGCCTGCCCATAATGCTCAGCATACAAGGGGCTTTGGCATGCTGCACTTTAAAAATTGTATTCCTTGTACTTCTCTGTATCATGTTCAAATTAATAAATAAATAAATAAGAAAATAAATGATGGTAGGATTGATGGTGTCTTTTTACTGTCTCATAAACATGCAAGATTTCAGGTACATCTAGCTACTTACACTTAGGTCACACTACACATGGATGTGCAAGCATATGTATACACCCCTCTGGGTTTTCTTTGACTTCCTTACTAGTTCTTGTTTATTTCCTCTTATCTCCATGGGGAAGTGGAACAGAATTCTTCCTCTCTAAGCCATGTGTATTGTAAGAGGTGACTAAAATGCCAGGAGCAAGGGGCTAGTAACTTTTTCTCCTCTATACATTACTAAAGCTAAAAAGAGAAACTTCTGTTTATCTTATTGGGTCATCCTGCTTTGGTGGGATACCATCAGTTTGTTGAAAGAAGCAGTAGTAGTAGTTTTGGGCTCCGGTAAGTGGTGAAAAATCCTTCTTCTGTAAGCCATACTTATCGTAAGAGACTACTAAAATGTTAGGAGCAAAGGGCTAATAACTCCTGTACAAATTACCAAATGAAAAAATGTACAATTTACCAAATGAAAACAACAAAAAAACTTTTGTTTCTTCTTTTTTGGGTCTCCCTGCCTTTGTGGGAAATGGTTAGTGTATTAAAAAAAAGTTTTTGCTTGCAAGTGTAGTTGCATTTAACTTGTCATATTTTTTTTGTTTTTTTCCTCAACAAGTTGGCAGTCTCCCGCCGAGGCAGGGCGACCCAAGAAAAGAAAATCCCCAAAAAGAAAATACTTTCATCATCATTCAACACTTTCACCTCACTCGCACATAATCACTGTTTTTGCAGAGGTGCTCAGGATACAACAGTTTAGAAGTATACACGTATAAAGATACACAACATATCCCTCCAAACTGCCAATATCCCAAACCCCTCCTTTAAAGTGCAGGCATTGTACTTCCCATTTCCAGGACTCAAGTCCGACTATATGAAAATAACAGGTTTCCCTGAATCCCTTCACTAAATATTACCCTGCTCACACTCCAACAGATGGTCAGGTCCCAAGTACCATTCATCTCCATTCACTCCTATCTAACACGCTCACGCACGCTTGCTGGAAGTCCAAGCCCCTTGCCCACAAAACCTCCTTTACCCCCTCTCTCCAACCCTTTCGAGGACGACCCCTACCTCGCCTTCCTTCCCCTATAGATTTATATGCTTTCCATGTCATTCTACTTTGATCCATTCTCTCTAAATGACCAAACCACCTCAACAACCCCTCTTCTGCCCTCTGACTAATACTTTTATTAACTCCACACCTTTTCCTAATTTCCACACTCCGAATTTTCTGCATAATACTTACACCACACATTGCCCTTAGACAGGACATCTTCACTGCCTCCAACCATCTCCTCGCTGCTGCATTTACCACCCAAGCTTCACACCCATATAAGAGTGTTGGTACTACTATACTTTCATACATTCCCTTCTTTGCCTCCATAGATAATGTTTTTTGACTCCACTTATACCTCAATGCACCACTCACCTTTTTTCCCTCATCAATTCTGTGATTAATCTCATCCTTCATAAATCCATCCGCTGACACGTCAACTCCCAAGTATCTGAAAACATTCACTTCTTCCATACTCCTCCCCAATTTGATATCAAATTTTTCTTTATCAAAGTCATTTGATACCCTCATCACCTTACTCTTTTCTATGTTCACTTTCATCTTTCTACCTTTACACACATTCCCAAACTCATCCACTAACCTTCGCAATTTTTCTTTAGAATCTCCCATAAGCACAGTATCATCAGCAAAAAGTAACTGTGTTAATTCCCATTTTGAATTTGATTCCCCATAATTTAATCCCACCCCTCTCCCGAACACCCTAGCATTTACTTCTTTTACAACCCCATCTATAAATATATTAAACAACCATGGTGACATTACACATCCCTGTCTAAGACCTACTTTTACCGGGAAGTAGTCTCCCTCTCTTCTACACACCCTAACCTGAGCCTCACTATCCTCATAAAAACTCTTTACAGCATTTAGTAACTTACCACCTATTCCATATACTTGTAACATCTGCCACATTGCTCCTCTATCCACTCTATCATATGCCTTTTCTAAATCCATAAATTCAATAAAAACTTCCCTACCTTTATCTAAATACTGTTCACATACTGTATATGCTTCAATGTAAACACTTGATCTACACATCCCCTACCCACTCTGAAACCTCCTTGCTCATCCGCAATCCTACATTCTGTCTTACCTCTAATTCTTTCAATTATAACCCTACCGTACACTTTTCCTGGTATACTTATTCCTCTATAATTTTTACAATCTCTTTTGTCCCCTTTCCCTTTATATAAAGGGACTATACATGCTCTCTGCCAATCCCTAGGTACCTTCCCCTCTTTCAAACATTTATTAAACAAAAGTACCAACCACTCCAACACTATATCCCCCCCTGCTTTTAACGTTTCTGTCATGATCCCATCAGTTCCAGCTGCTTTACCTCCTTTCATTCTACGTAATGCCTCACGTACCTCCCCCACACTTACATTCTGCTCTTCTTCACTCCTAAAAGATGGTATACCTCCCTGACCAGTGCATGAAATTACCGCCTCCCTTTCTTCGTCAACATTTAACAGTTCCTCAAAGTATTCTCACCATCTACCAAATACCTCCATCTCCCCATCTACTAACTCCCCTACTCTGTTTTTAACTGACAAATCCATTTGTTCTCTAGGCTTTCTTAACTTGTTTAGCTCACTCCAAATTTTTTTCTTTGTTTTCATTAAAATTTCTTGACAGTGCCTCTCCTACTCTATCATCTGCTCTCCTTTTGCACTCTCTCACCACTCTCTTCACCTATCTTTTACTCTCCATATACTCTGCTCTTCTTATAACACTTCTGCTTTGTAAAATCCTCTCATAAGCTACCTTTTTCTCTATTTACTGAATGAAATTTTGTTAAAGAGCTTTGTAAATCGAGCAACTTTCATCTGTTGTTTAGAATTTCTTGAATGAGATGCAGGAAACAATCCATAGTCAGTTTTTTCCCAATTTGTGAAAGGTATAGATTGAGTGAGGTTAGTATTTTCTAATATATTTCACAATGTATCTGCATAATAGCCTCTCAAGGATGGCTCCTTGATGCTGGTGAAGGGCTCTTGATGCTGGTGAAGGGCTCTTGGTCAAAGAAACTCTACTTATCCTTTCCTTTCATAGATTGAATTTGAGTGCCTGTTATTCCCCAGGCACTGTATGACCTACAGGTTTAGAGATTCACCCTGATTAAAATAAAAACCGGCATGTCAGATTTATCCACAAGTCTGGTGGTCATATAGCCCACAACAGCGTTTTGCTTTGTTTCAGGCTATATTTGCAAAATTTTTGTTTTTCAACCATTTGCTTGGAAGTTGGCAGATATATGTAATTGTAGGAGGAAGTTTTATATAGCTGTTTGGCAGAGTTGACCCCTTATGGTGACTGTCATATGGAATATTTAACAGGAGAATTTCAGGTTTAGAAAGTATGCAGAGAACTTTTAGTGCACTGCATGAAGTGTAGCTGAGAAAGACCTTCATTATCATTACCGAAGGTACTGAAATAACCCCTTATGAGAGCAGAAGATATGGTAAACAAGGCAAAAGAGTCTTCATGAAAAGCTGAGTTACAGTAAGTACTGGATAACTTGATAATCATAAAGTCAAAGCCTTTCCAACCCACTCCCTTGAGATATAAGAATTCCTGACAGACCTCGTACTGTCTTCAAGAGGGACTTGACAAGTTAGCTGGGCCATGGTGCTTACAGGTATGTAGGTCTGATGCAGGCACCAAATCTTAATTCAACGTGTTAACAAAAAGGAAAGACGAGAGAAAAATTATTAAATATTTAAATAAGAAGCAGTGGGTGAGAATACTATTTAGGTAACTAAAATTGCCTATACTATAATTTTATGTATATTTGTAAATTCTTACAAACAGTACAAAGAACAATTAGTGGCCAAATCTTATATTTCACAGTATCCAGTACGGCATGGCATTGTGGAAGACTGGGATCTGATGGAGAAGTTTATGGAACAGTGTATATTTAAGTATCTGCGAGCTGAACCAGAGGATCATTACTTTTTATTGACAGAACCTCCACTAAACACGCCAGAGAATCGTGAATACACAGCAGGTTAGTTGTGAAGGCTTATATAATGTAAAAAAAATATATATACAGTAAGGCCCCGCTTTACAGCATTTTGCCTTATGGCATTCCGCTAATACGGCGATGTCAAATTATAACCAAAATTTGCTATACGGCAAGCAGTCTTTCAAATACGGCGCCCCCCACCCGGTTTGTTTACATTTTCTGTGACCACATCAATTATGTCAGGAAACTTTCCAAAATTTCAAGTGTTTTAAAGTTACTGCATATTTTATATGTACTCTGATAATTATACTAAAGTGTACCTGTACCTAAATATACTTACACACTGTGCTGGTGTGCAGGTACACATTAAAATCGCTAAGTCTCTCTTTACTCATGACGCCACTCTTTCCCAATAATAATCACTCTTGGGCACACTAAATGTCTTATTTTACATCAATATAGGCATTTTCATTAATCCATCTATGATATTTTCCTCAAAATTATATATGAAACCCATTACATAGCATATAAACATGATACATACACTCAGAATAAAAATTGATGTAAATATGAGATTTGTTTACAAAGCAGCTGTGTAGGTAGTGTTGGAAGAATTATGTTTTCTCTAGTCAAACTGGGGGTTAACTGTAGAAAAATATTCTTTTCGTATGCCTTTACTCTATGTATAGCAATTCACGACCCTTGTGGGTTTAATGCTTTTTATAATAAATAATAATATTATTATTATTATTAATAATAATAATACATATTATTAATAATAATAATATTATTAATAATAATAATAATATTAATAATAATAATATTATTAATAATAATATTATTATTATTATTATTAATACAGTGGACCCCCGCTTTACGATCACCTCCCAATGCAACCAATTATGTAAGTGAATTTATGGAAGTGCGTTTGTACGTGTATGTTTGGGGGTCTGAAATGGACTAAACTAATTCACAATATTCCTTATGGGAACAAATTCGTTCAATACTGGCACCTGAACATACTTCTGGATTGAAATAATATCGTAAACCGGGAGTCCACCATATTATTATCTTCATTCACTCTAAAAATGGTGTTGCTGTTTGTTTATTCTGAACTAACTTGTACACAATGTAAGAGTATTTGTATTGTGAGGTAATTATTATTAAAATAAAAAATAATGAGGTAAATGTTTTACAAACTCTTACAAATGGACTTGAATGAACTAAAAGTAGACACACATTAATACGCATTTATTTCGCCTGACCAAGTGATTGTCCACTACCTGTTCAGTTTGTGTTCTTACATTGTCTCGACTCTGTATCGCGTTCTCTCTCTCGTTTACTCTTTCGTTAACTAGTTGGCTCTCATTGACAATGGCGTCTAAGGTTAGCTGTAATAAAAAGAGAAGTCGTTAGCCTCTTGCTTTAAGTGCCAAGTTAGAGGATGATGGTGTGCCATTCTGATTTTATTCAATAAACACCCTGCCACTCACCTCTCGCACATTAATATTAATATTTTAAGGTAAGTAATAAGTGTACTCTGTGTATCTTACCTTTTATTGTGTTTTTAATGCCTATTTATATTGCTAACTTAATATAAGTTAGTGTAAACTTGTTGTCTGGCATTTATTGCATATTTTATGTGTGCTCTGATAATACTTGTGGAGCTGTGTGGTAGCCGGGTGGAGGGACAACATTACGTTTTCTCTGTTCAGCCATCAGAGAAAACGTGTATGAATCTGCGTTTGGCCCAGCCACTCCCTCACTCCGCTTTTATTTACAATTTTCGGCACGAATTATTCATTACTTCTACCTTCGTTTATGATGGCATCTAAAGTGAATAAGTGAATAAGGCATGTCAATGTTAATAATATGGCTCTGGGCCACAGTGTAGGTAGCTGGTAGGTGTAGTCCAGGCGGGCTACAGCTACCGGCTACCTACACTGACTTCCTACAAATAAATACTACTCACCTCTCTTCCTATATTAAGACTACACATATTTTAAGGTAAATAATGAGTGTACTGTATGTGTATTTTACCTCTGGGATGTTTTAAATATCGTATATTAAGTATGAGATGGGGAGCCAGTGCTACCTACACCTGGGCTACCTGCACCTGACTTCCTACAAATAAGTACTACTCACCTCTCTCCCTACATTAAGATTACAAATACTTTAAGATAAGTAATGAATTTACTGTGACTGTATTTTACTTTGTGTGTTTTTAATGCCTAGTTCTATTACTAACTTAATATAATTTAGTGTAAACTTGTTGTCTGGCATTTATATGCATTTATAAATGGAAAAAATGGCGTTCTGCCTTCCAGCGATGTCTGCTTTCCGGCGACAGCCTGGAACCTAACCCGCCGTATAAGTGGGGCCCTACTGTATATCAGTATGATTTAGGTACTTTGCATAGGCTTGTGTAATTTAGTAATTTATTTTGCATCTTGCACCTAATAAAAAAAAGGGCTATTTGCTAGCTATATAATTACTTTCGCTGCACACAGTGTGGTTCGATTCGTGGCAATGTCGGAAACTTTGGGCGTGTTTCCTTACACCTGTTGTCCTGTTAACCTAGCAAGCGAGTAGTACCTGGGTGTTAGTTAATTCTATCGTGTTTGTCACCTTCTTTACCAAAGGGATGGCACTAGCTTTCTTTGGGCCCATGGTGGCTTATTTAGCAGTTGCAAGCACTAAAATGAGTGGAATATTAGGAAATGTATCGTATGAATGCATGGAATCTTGCTCACTCACTGATAAACAATGGCACACTGCCTGTGGCCGTGTTGAGGCCGCTTGTATGCATTTGGGACAAAACTATTACCGAAGTAAATGACAATCACTGAGCGAATATTTTGACGGAAAAAACTTTACGATTACCGAATGTTGTGAAATCCGACGACTACGATATCTGGGGGTCCACTGTAATTGAAATGTCATTAATCCGTTCCTGCGGAATTCCTGCTCACTTTGTGCACATAAAATGAGGTAAATATGAGTGTTTGATTAACTGACTGACTTGACTGACTTTGACTTTGACTTGACTTGTCTTGACTTGATGACTTTACTGACTGAATGATTTGCCTGACTTACTGAATGACTTGAAGTTAGACTTTTTCACTGAAGAGGACCCCAAAATAGTGTTTAGAGCAGCTGATGCCTTACTGTCAGTTGTATAATGTACTGCAGGGTAAAATAGAACAGAAATCCATTACAGAATTTATGCAGACTCCAGCACAACCATCGACTTCAGTACCAGAACCTCTACCATCCACCTCAGCCCAGTAGGGCCAAAGCATAACTCTCCACTCTTCACAATCATCCACAAACACAGGCACCCACAATTTAGGGTAAGAAATACTATTATTTTTGTTGCAGTTATAGTCTTAAGCAGTAAAAACAACATAATACGTCACGAAAATGAACTACAATTATATATTCACTTTTATTTTTGTAAGATCTGGAGGTCTAAAAAAAGTTGTTTGAGGGAGAAGCTCGCATCCTGAATTTTTGCTCATGTCCAGAAACAAAAAATTGACTGAGCAACTGCTCATATCCTGAAAAACTTGTATGGTGGGGCACTCGTAAGCCGAGGTTCCACTGTATTAAGTTTAATATTTAAGGCTCTGTTTCCAAACAGCATGAAGTATGTTATGTCTATGTTGAGAGTGAGTTTGTTGGTCATCATCCATGTACAGTGGACCTTCGGTTTTCGTGTTTAATCTTTTCCAGAGCCATTGGCCAAAACTGAAATCGGCCAAAACCGAAATCATTTTCCCCATAAGAAATAATGTAAATGGGATTAATCCATTCCAGACACCCAGAAGTATTAGCAAAAATTTTTTTTTACATTAAAGATAGATTTACATGCACAAAATAATGAACATTACACATGACATTTACCTTTATTGAAGGCTGTTGCTGATGGAAGACAGGGAGGAGGGGAGAGGTAAGAGGTTATTGTTTGGAAGGGTTATGCCCATCCATAAGGACTAGGTACCAAGTCCTTATCAGGGGTCACTTCCCTAGCTTAAATATAGATTTACATGCAGAAAAGAATGACAAATAAATATAAAGTGCTAATAAAATGTATAAATGAACATTTAACATCACACCTTTATTTAAAAGACTTGTTGATATATGGCAGACCAGGTGGAGGGGAGAGGGAGGGGAGTTTATTGTTGGAGAATATGACACTAATATCAACTCTATGGCTTATTTATTTATCACAATTCAACTAATATGAAAATAATGAAAATAAGAAAAAAATTTGGAGTGAGTTAAACAAGTTAAGAAAGCCTAGGGAAAGTAAGGATTTGTCAGTTAAAAACAGAGTAGGGGAGTTAGTAGATGGGGAGAGGGAGGTATTAGGTAGATGGCGAGAATATTTTGAGGAGCTTTTAAATGTTGAGGAAGAAAGGGAGGCGGAAATTTCATGCACTGGCCAGGGAGGTATACCATCTTTTAGAAGTGAAGAAGAGCAGAATGTAAGTGTGGTGAAGGTACGTGAGGCATTACGTAGAATGAAAGGGGGTAAAGCAGCTGGAACTGATGGGATCATGACAGAAATGTTAAAAGCAAGGGGGAGATATAGCGTTGGAGTGGTTGGTACTTTCGTTTAATAAATGTATGAAAGAGGGGAAGGTACCTAGGGATTGGCGGAGAGCATGTATAGTCCCTATATATAAAGGGAATGGGGACAAAAGAGATTGTAAAAATTATAGAGGAATAAGTTTACTGAGTATACCAGGAAAAGTATACGGTAGGGTTATAATTGAAAGAATTAGAGGTAAGACAGAATGTAGGATTGCAGATGAGCAGGGAGGCTTCAGAGTGGGTAGGGGATGTGTAGATCAAGTGTTTACATTGAAGCATATATGTGAACAGTATTTAGATAAAGGTAGGGAAGTTTTTATTGCATTTATGGATTTAGAAAAGGCATATGATAGAGTGGATAGAGGAGCAGTGTGGCAGATTTTGCAAGTATATGGAATAGGTGGTAAGTTACTAAATGATGTAAAGAGTTTTTGAGGATAGTG